GGCTGTCTCTTTTACCAGTGTTGATCGGTGTGTGATCGACTCAGCAAGAAAACGAGTAGTGGTATGAACGCTTATTCAATGGGCTCATTCTGTTCCATCTAAAACCGCCCAGGGAACTATGATATTCACTCATAAATCAGAGGAAATCTCAAAAGAAGTGCCGTGGAACTTGAATTACCATCAATTATGTCATGTTTTGTTTCTTAACTTTTTTGTTGGGAAGTTTTTTTTTCAGGTTGATTGCTTGTCTCGTGGTGGAGTCGGAAATGGAATAAGACGCTTTACTTGTTCACACGTAATAGACGACCATCAACTGCTAGCTCTTGCCATAGGTTGGTTTTGTTGAATGATTTCAGTGGCGCAGTTCGTCATGGTAGGAGCACCAAATGGTGCTCAGTGAAGCCTGTACCTTGTAAAGACTCGCGAGTTCTTGTAACCCGGGTGGCTTTTTTGTATCATTCCGCGGCTTCGCATGGGTCATTCTACGGCTTCACAAGGGTTTACAGGTTTCACCAAAGTGTTGACGTGAACTAAGGAACTAGCAAAAGTGCAAAATGCCCCTTCCAAGTTGAACAGCGCCGATTTTAATTTCATTGCTATCTTGCTCGTAGCAGCCTAGTAACCAGCCTCTGCCTTTGAACGAATCACATGTGTCCTTTAAGAAATCTGTAGAAATCAGTTGATGCCGTTTCAGGACAACATGTACATAACGAGAAGTTCACTTTGACTTTTGAAACTCGCTGGAACGTTCAATGTGTGAGTCTATAACTGTAGACCTTTGCTCTGGCTTTACATACACACCGTGGGCGGAAACCCGTAGACCTTGTATCTTACTCATTGGCACAGCCCTCGATTGAGGGGGTGGTGGGTGTGCCAATGAAAAAAGTCTGGATGAGGCGTGCCAGTGAACAAGGCATGATGGTTAAGAGTCTCCGCCGATCTGCATATGGTATAGTGCGTCTTCAATACAGCTCATGCTTACCGCGAAAGTGTGTATTGGGGATAGCGGAGCCGCTCGGTAAGGCATTGTTCACAGGCTGCGACCCAGCTTTTCTCTAGAAAGAAACGCTTCGGCGAAAAGTTTCGATACGTATCGATTGGCGGTTGGGCGAAGAGTCTGGCGGTTGCGCGAACGGTTTTGATACGTATTATAGATGGGCTGGTT